GTATATCAACTAGATACTGATATGTATTAATGTATAAATATATAGATATCGAGTACGAACAAGTCTCGGGATGACCATCAAGTTAAGATTCGATCGGAAGAATGGAAATCATAAAAGAGGATTGGAACTTAGTGAGACCAAGGTGAGTGCATCTTATTTTATAAATTATATGGAAATTAGACTTGTGATAAGTCTATTTCCTATAGTAATAGCTCATTAAGTCTTGATTATAAGCATGTTAATAACATGAAGTGTACGTATGTTTGATTATATGGATTGATATGTTTTTGTATGTGCTATGTGGTTTATGTAAAAACACTATTAAGTGTTAATGAAAGAATATAAAATAAGTTATGAAATTATAGGAATATAAAAGATAAGTCAAGTGATATATGGAATTGGAAATAGATATCTATGAAGAGTTTTAGGAGAACAAATATAAGTCATATGTAATGAAAAATAAGACTATGTGAATACATGGTTATGAGATAAAATATGTAATAATAGGAAAATATGATGAAAGTGAGTTCATGAGAAGTGATAGGAACTAGGTAAACATGTGTAACAGTATATGCTTAATAGAAACATGAGTTGAACAAGTACATAATGGTATGATCCATTATGAGAATTAGTATAATAGAGCTTTTTGATTTAATGAGAGTTAAGGGAACTAAATAAGATTGAATTATAGAATGAAATGGGAATAGTATATCAATTAGGAAACTTGATATAAAGGGATGATACGAATATATTAGATAAGTTATATGCTAAAGATCTATCTATATAAAAAGGTTATAAGGAATATATGGAATTGAATTAAGTAAACAAATTAAATTAATATATAAATAAAATACAATTAAACGATATATGTTTAGAAATACGACATAGTTTATGTAATCTAAGGGAATACAAAGAAACGAAACATAAGGTAGATGATATGACATAAGTTATTATATACATATATGATATATGTGAACAAGATATGATATTTAGGTTTACATGAACATCTAAGAAATGATCTACGTGATTATATGCAAATTGGATTATGTTATATGCCATAGATCTATGTGACTACGTGAGAAAGAATAAAAGCTATGTGATATGCTATGAGAAATAATCCATGTGAATACATGAGCTTATGTGAATTGGTAATGTGAATGTATTATGAATATAAGTAATATGAGCTAAGTGCTTATGAGATATGAATATGGAACATGAGCTATGTGAAAATAAGTTAAGTAATTACATGTGCAAATGGAAATGTTATGTGAAAATCTATGTGGCTATGTGAAGATGTGTAATGGTATAAAAGATAATGCCCATGTTATGTGATATGAGAGCTAGGGGTATAGTTGGCATGCCAAGAGTCGAGGGATTATGAGTGGTCCTTCAGGACAAACAATATTCCTTCGGGACATAGTGGTTCTTTGGAACAATCATTGGTCCTTCGGGACATAGTGGTCCTTCGGGACAAATATTCAGTGCCCCTTGAGGGAATTATACGAGCTGTGGTGACAGCATAGTGCACAATCTCTATGTACTCGCATATCTTTAGTTCTCACATGTGTACCATGGGCTAATAAAGAGATAATATTAATAAACTTGATATGATGATATGCTTGTTTCCTTGTGAAATGCTATGTGTGATATATGATTGTACAAATGGTAATTACAATAATATGATAAAAGGAATCAATGATAGTGCTAAGCATGAACCTGATGATATAGTAACAAGTTTACAAGATAAATGATATGAATATAAGAGATCATAGGAATTTGAGATAAGAGATATGAATGATAATGACATATACGTATGTATGTATTTGTTACCTGTAAGAGTGTATGAATTGTATGAATGATAATAGAAATTGTTTATGTACGATTGTTAGTTAAAGTTTGCATATATGTTTATTGTCTCACTAAGTCATAGACTTAGCGTGTGATTGTTTCACACATAGGTTACAGAAGCGAGAAGAGAAGCGAAAAGAGTAGGACAGGTCAGCATCTCCCTTACAAAATTTCAGATCAGAAAATAGATGATTTAAATGTGTTTGGATATTTCGAATATAGTTGGCATGTACTAAGTGATTGAGATGAATATGCTCTGATCGATTTTGATTGTTTTGATCAATATATGTAAATAAACCGCTTTTATTTTAATGAAAGTTTTAAATTTTCTTTGAATTTTGTCAAGAGTCAAAGTCTAAAAGTCAATGTGACACCTCAGACTCGTATTCGGGTCGGGTACGGGTTGGGGTTGTTACACTTAGGGTTGCGAAGGAAAGGGGAGAGGAATATGAGAGAGAAATGGCTGAGGGGTTGGGGTGGGGAAACTAAAATGAATTAGGGTTAGCTAATCACCATCTTGAACCTATTTAGCTGGTCACTAAAACGATATCATTTAGAATAGGGCCAAAACGGCATCGCTTCAAGCTTGGGGAAAATAAACCACGTTTTAGGGTAAATGGGTTTATTGCATTGATGGGCTTTCTGTTTTAAATTGTTTTATTTTGATCACTAAATCGAAGTTTCTTTTTTTTAATTTGCTCTTCCTATTGTAAGCGCTTTTCATTTCACTCCTGGGTTGTTGTTATGTTTTATTTTCGAATGTGACTTGTAATTTTGGATTATTTGACAATTCAATCACTTGATATGCATGTTTAATTTAATGGGTAATTTCTACTTTGTATGCCTATTTTCAGCTTTTGGTCCTTCATGACAACTTTTAATATGAGTTTGAGTTATAAATATTAGGTTTAATCTTATATAGTTCCATTTTAATGAATGTACATGTTATTGCATGCATGCATGTATAGTATAAGCGCACCTTAGCCTAGGTAATATTTTAATGAAATAAATGTTATCCTAGTCATTAATTAATGTAGCTTTAAAGCCCTTGTAATATGTTAATACAAATATGATAAGTTTAATAATCTTAAAACATTAAAATTTTAAAAATTCCTTTGTAAGATAGATGACCATAAATGCATGTGAACGTATTGTTTTAGATTTAGATGTTTGTTCGAATGTGTGGCATTATCTAATTAGTTTTTGCATGATATCTCCATGTGTACAACTCGACATTATTACATAATTGGATTAAGGGCAATAGACTTTTAATTTAAAATCGTTTTAAGTGGGTTGTCTTATTCATATGTTGTTATTTTGTTAGGGATCATAAATCAAATTAAAATCGAACTTGTAAATTTCATTGCAAATACGTTAATTAATTGACTAGTTATCGATTTAGGGCGCTGTGGGGTGTTAATCATTCTCCACACGTAACCGACTCCCGAAGCCAAATTTTGGTAACACAGACCTAAATTTGTCATTTTAATTAAAATTAATTTGTTATTTAAAACGACAAAACGTTTTTGGGTGCCTGATCACACCCTAATCAAATATTGGTGGTGACTCCTCGAACCATATTTTTCTATCGTAAAGGAAATCCCAAATTTTTCGAAACGAGAGAGGTTTTCTAAAATCGCATTTACTTTTTAATTAAAAATCAATCACAAAGAAGATAATTAAAAATGGTGTGGTTTTCAAAATCCTGTTTCTCTAAGAAAAAAACCGTTTCGATAATTATAACATTTAAAAATTAATCATATTAATTAACATGATTTATTATAAACTTAAAATCTCACAACTTCATCAAAATCTTATAATTTCATCAATGGTAATTTATAAGTCATGTAAATATCAAGTCAGATAAATATCATATCAGTTCAACAACAAGTCGTATCATTTATAAATTGAGTCAATTACAGTTCAGGTTCATAACAGGTCGGGTAATACCAATTATTTACAAGGTTAATCTCGGGTTCGAGTTCTTATCAGTCGGATACACGCCATATTTAGCTATCATATTTTCGGTTCAATTCGGGTTTAAGTCGTTCTCAGATCGGGTGCATGTCAGGTTCAAATCCACAATTTCCAGGTCCAAGTTGAGTTCAGGTCAACACCAATTCCAACTCGAGTTAGTTTCGGATCACCATTGCTCAAATTACAAATAATTTTGACTTGATTCAGTTTCAGTCAGTTTTACAGGTCAATATTTTACATCCCTAAATATAGGGAGAGAAGGGTAGCAAAGCTGACATTGATATAAACCAGGGACCCACTGCCCCACTCCCGAGCGGCATCCCCACCTACACAGTTGAAATCCTCAACATCTGTGCCACTGGCTGCGACATCTCCGGGATTCACTTAACCTGCAGCTGGTTCATTTCGGCTCATCTCGTCAACCCCAAAGTGTTCAAGCGCCTGAGGTACAGCGACTGCCTCGTCAACGATGGCAAGCCCTTGATCAACGGTGGCACAGTCGAGTTTCAATATGCTAATACGTTCCCGTACCCTCTTGCGGTCTCTAGCGTGGTCTGTTCTTAGTAATAAAAGCAAACTATTGATTGGTTCTTAGTAATAATACCATATTATTTGGTTTCATGCATATATTCACATGATCCTATTGGTTTCCTTTACTGGTTAGTCCTTTGATTGATTGGTTAAAATGATTCAATGTGATGCTGGGAAGTTTGTTTTGTGAATGCTGCTTGATGTCGAATATACGGTGGAAAAGTCGAGTCGAGCAATCGATGATCGGAAGGTAGTGAAACATGAGTTTTGATTTGAGGGCTTCTGTATGTAGTGACATATGGGATTGTTTGCTACTATGAGGATCTTTGTAGTATATTTTGAGATGAACATTGCGAGAAATTGAAAGTGTGATCCAGAAGATGCTTGATTGATGCTCTTGCATCAAAGTTTCTTGGTTGAACATGATATTGAAATATGAGATGAAGCTTCTTTCACGGTCCTTGCTTTATTAATTTTGTTAATTTTTTATTTTGATATTAATATTTAGTATAATAAAATGAAACAAACAGGGAACAAAATATTTAAATATTCAGCCATAAGTATGAGAGTATTATTTTCCGAGTACATAGAAGAAGAATACTCGTATTAGACAAATAAAACACACCCTTAGTCCGAATGACAGCGATAGTAAGAGGCAGCATTTAAACAAACTGTTAGTAACTGAAAGCATTTATACAAAGGCATTTCTCCTTGCAATTTGTTGTGCAAATTGTGTTTACATGGAGTAGCCTATACAACTTTACAAATGATTCATGCTAGTATTTGGAAACAATCATAAATGTAACCGAAAGTAAAGAAAAATGCACATCTTCATCACTCTGTTAAGAACTTGGAAACATAGACTTTGCAACTAAAACACCCCGGATACTCAAAAACGATGTTTAACGTTCCTAATCATCGTTACCAGCATAAACGAATTTCCAACTCTACATGTTTGGTTTCATAAAATGGAACAGGAGCATACAATCTTTCTGGGTGAATCATCAACCTTCTTTTCTGTTCAAACACAAAATCAAGCATAAATAGGTAGATACATGTAGTTTTAAGAAAACACAGAGGTATCATCTCAATGTTATCAGTTACAAAAGGTTACACTTAATGCTGTAACATATAGTATTCTAATTGTATAGTGTTACGAGTAATCAACGTTAAAGACATATTGATCCCGAGGCCAATACCTTTTGGAGTGCAATGGATGTTATCAATGCCTTCGGAAATGTAGAAAGATGCAAAAAAAGTGGCAGGAAATGTAGAAAGATGCAAAAAAAAGTGGCTAGCATAGCATCTCAGTAAATAATGAAGGAGAAAGGCCTCCAGTAGGCTCATCATAACTCGAGCAGCATGCTCATCAATGATCACCGATGAAGTTTAAAAAATAATTCTCAGTTTCCACATACTTTTCCCCCCAAAATGCGTGTAAAAAATGAAATAGAGAAAATCCTCAACTTACAAATTGGACTACATGTACCATAATCCATCAGAAAGGCAATATCAATTATCCATATAAACATTGGTTACTGGTCAAGCAATTAGAAGTTTTGGCTTATATCACTACTAATGCAAGTAAAATAGCTGGAATATCCTCATATCGACTTTAGTAAGCAAGCTAATTGTAATTGCCAAAAAGAAAAATATTCTTATAATTGTAAGAGAAAAGTTCTACATGAAGATAAAGACAAGAATACCTGTTTTAGTTTTTGCAAGTGATGGCTGTACTACAACATGCATTATGATAACCCCTCCTGCAGCATCACCAAAGGGTACTTTACATTGACCAACAGTCTTGTCGTTCTCCAAAATTTTACCAGAGCTTATCAGTTTGACTTCATTCACTGCCTTTGGAACAATTGTCTTACCTAAGAACAGACAGCATTTCGGAAAATTTTAAAACAAAGTGCTTCAAACTATCAACCTTTATGCTATCTTCTGGTTATTACGTATAAAAATTTGAAGATTGCTAATAGATGTAGGCCACAAGACAATGAACCATTGCGTTTTGCAATCCATTTTCTTAGAGTCAATAGCATCCGTGGAATATTCCAATAATAATCCAACAGTTCAAGATAATAACACGTGTCCACAGAACCTTCTCTGTTAATATACAGTCATAATCACAATGATATTTTTCCATTCTTATTAATCATTTCCACATTAATCGCATGCAATAAATGCATCATCAGAGCAGGTACAACATATATAAATAACAGCATCTCCATCATTTCTTAGGCCATTGGTAGCCTATGTTATCCAAACTCAATGGTGAGACTTGAGACGAGTATGCTCAGTTTTCAAAAAATTTATTTCATACACTCAAAGGATCGTATTCCTATACCTAGATCCAACTATGTCGGACACAAATACTTTAGCGAAAATAAGTCCAGGTAACATAGTTTGTAGCTACTCTACAAAGCAAAAGGCACCACTTTGCAGAAAAAGGATCAAAACCCAAGCTACTAAAAGTATCTACCACGAAATTCTGCTACCACCTTGTGCTATAAATATTCCCTTTGTATTGCATTCTATGGTTAACCCTACAGCTCTTTTCATTTGTTTTTACAATAATTAAGTGCATTTTCAAACTGGATCACCTCTGCAATATTAATATGTACTATCCAGCAAAAACATTTATTCTAAATTTAACAGATATTCGCCCAGAAATCTACAACAAATGTAAATTTCAATTACTAAACAAAACCAACAGCAAAAACTTGATAAGTAATTAGAAAAGAAATTAAACAAGATGAATTGCTGATGATAAACCTTTGGGCCAATCAGAGACAATTCTTTGCTTAAGCATATCCACCGTGGACGTGGCGGAGTACCGAAACGGACCGATATCCGACCCATCATAAAGCCTGAATTTTACATCCACCAAATCCTCCTCCGGCATCTTCGTTCACTTCAGCTCCACCTCCTCCTCCGCGGTCGCCGCCTACCCACCAGTCACCTACTTCCACGCGTTTCAATTATTTCCACAAATCGACTCACCCTGACCGCCCTCTCAATTCATCAAATCAAATCCCATAACATTTCGCCGCCTAAATTTCAACAATTTAAACCAAAATGAAAATTCAACTAAAATCAAGAATAAAATAATACGAAGAAATAAAAGGATCAAAATTCAAACCTGAATTATTTGTAGTAGTTGAATTCTTGAAGTTGATTTTTTTCCTTTATTTTTTTGTTTTAGAAATTGAGTTTGGTGACCTGGAGAAGACAAATAAGTCTAGCCATCTACTGATAGCCCGAAAGCTCCCCAACCGCTCCACCAAACGACGCCGTATTGGTTGCGGTTTCGTTGATCAAGCGATAGAAAAGTCGATATCTTTAAAACTTTAGGGTAAAACACATTTAAGGTCATTCAATTATTAGTTAAGTTATAATATGATCATAATCTTGCCATGAATTATAATTTAATTATTCAATTAAAATATTATTGAAAACATATCATTGGCCATTAACAATTTTTTTATTTATCTAGAGTAGTTACAAGTGATAATATATGTTCTAAAGACTCAAATATTTGATAATGAATATTCAAATACTATGAAGTCTTTGCTAGAAGTGTTGAAAAAACTCGTAACCGTTAATCGATATAACCGTTACATTTAACATGTTAATTAACCGAACCAATAATGCTAAACCATTTAAATTAACTTGATCATTAAAAATAATGGTTATCAGATAAGGTTGCAGTTACGTTTTTTTTAACCGTTAATAAATTAATTTATAATTGTATTTTTAGGGAAAATACTAATAAAATTAAAAGCAAATTTTAGTCATATTCCTAAAAATTGTAACAATTTAGTTTATGTTTGTTAAAAACTTATCTTTAAAACTTTGATGGTGTATTGAACTATCAGTAAAACATTTAAATCAAAGTTTGCAGAAATTATAATTTTCTATTATTTCTAATTTATATATTTTTAATAAAAATTTACACAAATAAATTAATATTTTTTATTTATTTGAAAATACATAAACATCTTACATCAATCTAATTATGCTTTTATTGTTAGATATGAAGATTGAGATATGTACATATTTATATCGGTGTAAGTATGTGTTAAGTGTTATACTTTTTTTTTTTTTGTTCACTTACACCGGTGTAAATATGTGCTAAGTGCTACACTTTTTTGTTGTATGAATTATGAAACTTTAAAATGTTCATGTTGTGTTATTTTTGAAAAATAATTGTAATAGGTTAACTTGTAAGCCGACCGTTAATAACAATTAATTGTTAGTGGCTAATTGTTTCTTAACGGTAGGTTACGATTAGAAATATCTCATAATTGTTATAACCGTTAACCGACCATTTAGGCTAAACGGTACGGTTAACCGTTAATGAACAACCCTAATCTTTAATGTTCGAACCTAAAACCTCTAAAAATAACAACAATTCTTTTAATAATTCGATCAATCAATTTTTAAATTAATAATATCATGACCTCAATTTCAGAACTGTGGCTACTCATTCAGGGGAAGAAACACCTTCTGATGTCAACAATCTAGTGTTGTAGTCGTTCTTATAGGATTTGCAATCGATAAATTCAGTTAACCAATCGAACTAATTTACTCAGTTCATTAATTTAATTTTTTTTTCTTTTAATTGTTAATCGAAGCTTTTTTTAAAAGTTTTTAACTGAATCGAACTAAGTTTAGCTAATTAGTCGGTTAACAGAATTAACCCGCTTAATCGAAATTTATAAATAGTAGATATTATATATTAAATATTTACTAATTTTATTTATTCAATTATTTCAGTTGATTAATTCGGTTAAAATCAAAATTTAAGCATCCCTATTAGCTAAATAATATATTAAATATATTAAATAATTAATAATTTTGGTTAATTCGATTAATTAATCAATTTTAAATTGTATTAACCGATTATAGAAATTTTAAAAAACCATTAACCATTAACTGATTAAACTCAAAATTAATCGATCAATTAACAAATATTTTTTATTTAACTAATTAATTCAATTTTAACGGAATGAACATCCATACGTTCTTATAGAGCCCGTCCCTTTTTTTTATTATTATTTCTTCTGCAAATTCATTAAAAGTATTATATATTTTTAGATTTTTTTTTAAAATAATATTTTCACTATCATTTTCTTATTTTCTTATGTGTCAAACGTTGAAGTCTTTTGAATTATTTAGGAATCTTCGAAATTTCATGTCATTTGATCAATTAACATACCCTTGACGTAACTTTCGATAAGCTATGCAATATGTTATAATAAAATTTGTTATTTAACTCATATCTATTTGTCTATCTTACCATATATAATCATCATTACTTTAAGCTTGACATCAACACTAATTATCCGTATATAAATAATTATATAAGACTGATAAAAACATATTTTCTCTCTCTCTCTCTAACACCCTATCTTTAGTTTGTCTATTCTCTCCTCTCCCTTTACAAGATAATTAGTCATAACTCTCAACCTAAATTAAAAAATTATTGAAGATCTCCGCAACCAATTTCTCCAGGAAAAAAGAAGAAGCAATGTACATAATTACTTTAAGGGTTGTTTGAGAATGTTTATGAAAGTACTTTTGGTCCAAAACTTCATTTGAAATGTAGAAGTATCCCAAACAATTCATTTTCAATAAAAAAATTCATTTAAAAAGGGATTATTGATTTAATCTAAGAAATTAAAAAAACAATACCTTTACGTTAGAAAAACTCGTTGAAAAAACTTCAAGTTTTTTTGGCCTAATAGGGCAAAGAATTTTATTAATTAGCCCAATAGGATTGTGTAAAGGAGGCAATGAAGTCGATAGTTAATCAACATAAGGAGAGAAGTAAACTTGAAGAAGAGAATAAGGAGATGAAAATCGAGGCGGAGAAGAAGAAGTATAAAGACTTACCGATCCGACATAGCAAACGACTTATAAGAAAAAGTATGAAAATCTTTATTATTCTCTCCTCACCCTCTACAAGATAATTAGTCATAATTCTCAACCTAAACTAAAAAATTATTGAAGATAAATGAAAACTTACCGATCCGACATAGAAAACGACTTATAAGAAGTATGAAAATCTTTAGTGTGTCTATTCTCTTCTCTCCCTCTACAAGATAATTAGTCATAACTCTCAACCTAAATTAAAAAATTATTGAAGATCTCCGCAACCAATTTCTCTTGAAAAAAAACAATGTACATAATTACTTTAAGGGTTGTTTGAGAATGCTTATGAAAGTACTTTTGGTCCAAAACTCCGTTCGAAATGTAGAAGCATCCCAAACAATTCATTTTCAATATTTAAAAAGTGATTATTGATTTAATCTAAGAAATTAAAAAAAACAATACCTTTACGTTAGAAAAACTCGTTGAAAAAACTTCAAGTTTTTTTTTTGCCCAATAGGGCAAACAATTTTATTAATTAGCCCAATAGGATTGTGTAAAGGAAACAATGAAGTCAATACTTGATCAATAGAAGGAGAGAAGGAAACTTGAAGAAAAGAATAAGAAGATGAAAATAGAGGTGGATAAGAAGAAGAAGAAGAAATATGAAGACTTACCGATCCGACATAGCAAACGACTTATAGAGAGGAATGAAAAAAAAATAAGTGTAGAAATTGAGAAGAAGAAGAAGAAGACGAAAAATAATTTTTTATTTTGAAAAAATATTTTAAATATATGTATGAATTTATGTTTAGTTATTGATGTCATAAATTATCCAAAAAAGGTACAACAAACAACATATGAACAAAATTACGAAGGTTTTATAGGCCTGCTCTATATTTAGCAAGATATGGACAATGCTCCTTGTTCTGGCCTTCACATTTGCAGTGGCTATAAAGCTTTGGTAATCTTGCTCTCGTTGAGGATTACCCATATCAATATGAATTCGACTAGATTCAGATCGATCCTTCAACTTCCTTCATAATTGTGGATTTGACAACCATTCTTCAGAAATTATTGGTGGCCAATAAGCATCGTTTGGGAGATACTTAAACTCACAACTGTATACGTTGCGCATAGTATGCAGACTATAACAATCATCAGCATAAGAGTATGAGTCAACATTAACATACATTCATGCAGCAACAACGTGAGTGTATATGTATCTAAAAGCTTGAAATTGACCACTATCACATTATCTTTTATTGAGATTACCGGTGTATGTGGCAGAATTACCACCCTCATGTGGTCGAACAAGTGCTTGGACAACATAATCAGAATCAAGTCTAGCAAAATTATGAAAAACATTGATGTTGCATTTGTTTGATTTTTATTCATTGTCTTTTCCAAATCTCTGCCATCGATGATCAACAACAACAACAAAATCTTATTCCCATATACAATGGGGTAAGGGGGAGGTAAGGTAGTAGGCTGCCCCCAACGCCAGGATTGAGAGCAGCTTCTGTGGAAGACCTCCGGCAGTCAGAAAATTAAAAAGAAAGATAAAAAGCAATGCATGTATAAATCAATAAATAAATACATAGTTGAACAGTCTTCATATGCAGTCTTTATATGCGCGTCTGTAATGGGAATTAATCCCTGCAAATAAATCCCTGCGTAAAAATCTCTGCATATAGATAGAAACGTAAGACCCGACTAAATTTAAAAAGAGGAAACCTGAAGAGAATGATACACAATAGTCAACGATAGCAAGCTACGAGAAGGAATAAAGTCAAATTGGTGAAAACCTAAACTAAGGCAACTCTACTCCGCTACCCTAGTTCTAAGCCTTCATAAATTCTAATGACAGAAACGTATATAAAGTAGAAGTCATGGAAATTATTACAAAGTCATTAAAAAGAAGATATATATGTTACACCATATGTCTGTAACCCGCACTACTCTACTACCCTCGTCTTAAGTCTCCATACTTTCCTATCAGAGGTCATATCCTCTGTAATGGCTAAATCCTTCAAATCAGATCTCAAGCAGTCTTCCCACTTCCGCCTTGGTCGTCCTCTCCTCCTGGCACCGTTGACTGTAATCGACTCTTCCCTCCTGACTGCATTCAACGGTTGTCGCCTAAGGACATGCCCAAACCACCGTAGTCTTCCCTCCCTCAATTTTTCGGATACATGCACCACCCCCAAGGACATCCTAATATCATAGTTTGGTGTCATGTCCCACAGAGTCCTACCACATGCCCATCGAAGCATTCTCATTTCGGCGGCCTCCATCCTCCTTACGTGATCCTTCTTGATTGTCCAACATTCTGATCCATATAGCAACGCTGGTCTTATTGTCATTCTATAAAATTTTCCCTTAAGTTTTAGAGGCACCTTCTTGTCGCACAAAACTCCAGTAGCAACCCTCCACTTTAGCCATCCCGCCTTTATACGATGTGTAACGTCATCATCTATACCCCCATCTTTATGTATCATAGACCCTAGGTACTTGAAACATTCATTTGAAGGGATAACGTGTCCTTCTATGCATACTTCTACATCTTTATCGTTTTGGTTCCCACTGAAGTTTGAACATAAATACTCTATCTTTTCAATATTGATCCTTAGACCTTTTTCTTCCAAAGCATTCTTCCAGGTAGTCAGTCTACTATTCAACTCAGTTTTTGTTTCAGCAACTAGGACAATGTTGTCAGCGAAAAGCATACACCATGGAACACCGTCTGGTTTCGCACAATAGATGTCGTCCATAATCAAGGAGAAGATGTAAGGGCTAAGAGCCGACCCCTGGTGGAGTCCGATTTCAACCGGGAATGCCTCGATGTCGCCAACTGTAGTCCCGACGTAAGTAGTATATCTACAGTACATATCACGAATCTCCCAGAAATAAGCAGTTGGGATCCGTCTCGTTTCCAAGGTCTTCCAGATCGTATCGCGTGGAACGCTATTATACGCCTTCTCAATGTCAATGAACGCCATGTGAAGATCTTTATTTTTTCTCTATATTTCTCCATAAGCCGTCGAAGTAGATGAATCGCCTCCGTAGTACACCGCATGGCATAAAGCCAAATTGGTTTTCCGAAACCCTAGTAACCTGTCTCAACCTAGCCTCTATCACCCTTTCCCATAGCTTCATGGTATGGCTGAGTAGTTTAATACCTCTGTAGTTGCCACAACGTTAGGATCTCCTTTATTTGTGCATCTTTGTCTGTCCAAACTTTACCCAATCGAAAGTAAATCTCCCTAACAATACTTGCTACCGAAAGATGTCTAGTCTCTTTAAGCATTGAATTTATATATTCGACAATATTGATTGTCATATGACCGTTGTAGACACTAATTTTGTTCGGGACAAATCTCGAACTTTATTTCATATTAACATTAGTTTATGACTATTATTATTTGTAATTTAATTGCATTTTTTATAAATATGTTTGTTACGTAGATTTTAGGTTTATTATTTATTTTGTAGTTAAAAATGTTTATTTTGTTTTAAAGTTTAATACGTTCATTTTAGTTGTTTGTTTTGGTTATTAATGTTAATTAAAATGTATGCATATTTCCATGTAAGTATTGGTTAAGTATAATATATAATTTTTAAATGCATATAAAAATACAATAATAATAAAATATTAATATATTGATATATGTTTACATGTATTGGCAGGCCTAATTACATTACAAGATCAGCCCAAATGTTACAGATCAAAGGCCTAACCAGTAGGAGCCCAATTAACCCAAAACATTTTAGGGTTATTGGAAACCCTAGAAAGCAGCCTTTCCCAATGCCGCTGAGAACTACTACCGCCTCCACTTACTGCCCCAGTTGGTCCGGCCGCCATGTTGGTCAATGCCAAGGCCAATCATGTCACTGTTTCGTAACAGTAAGAAAGAAACAAATCAAATCCAGCTAGAATAGAGAAAATCAAGCATTTATAAAAAATCCTCACCTACCCATTTAGAAGCCATCCCCTTCTATGGCCATGCTCTTGACACCCTGAAATTACCTGCAACAAACTGCCCTCATTAATACATCCAACCTAATCGAAAGAAAAGGAGAAGAAGCCAACCATAAAAGAAAAAACGAAGGAGAAAAATAGGTAGAGGAGTTGGAAAAAAAAGGAGAAAAAAACAAAGAGAAAATCATAAAAAAGAGAGAAAGAAAAGATTTTTGAATCATAAAAAAAGGGGAAGATCTTACAAAGAAAAATCTTAATATTCTTCCTTCACCGGAGCCGAGAAGTTTTCAGAGCAACAAAGGTAGATTTTTTATTGTCGGTTTTTTAGGGTTTGTGACAGTTTAAGTCGGGTTTGGTGGTAGTTTTTTAAGGGTTCAAAAAGAAGGGGTTTAGAGGGCCATTGGTCCCTCGTCGGAGCCATGATGGAGGCAGCCAGAGGGGAGGACCTCCCCTCTCGGTTGAAAGAAACAAAAGAGGGGATGGAGAGAATGAAAAACGGTTGAGGAGGAAAGAAATGAAACTAGGTTTCATATAAAAATTATTATGGGATATATACAGTACACCCAAAACGACGCCGTAGAGGGAGGGATTATGGTTTCTACATAGCGCATGGTTTAACTATGTAAGAAGGGTCCCTAATTTCGTAAATATACGTTTTAGTCACTAAATAGAAGTTTATTATTTTATATTTCAAGCTTTCAAGTTTATTACGGTTACATTTTGGTTCTTATTTATTTACTGTTGATTTACGGTTCAATTGCTAATTTTTCTTGTTAATTTGTGGTTATTTCATTTTAGTGCTTTCTTTTTTTATGTTCAAAGTTGTTGTATTTCTGTTTCATGTCCTTCTAGTTTTGTTTCATATGCATTTTAACCATCACTTATGTTTAATTATTTCATGAAATATTAAGGCTAAATACACCAATAGCATCCTGTAATTTTTTATTGTTTCAATTTAATATCCTGTATTATTATATATGCATTTATTTTACTTTTTTACATAAATGGAATATAGTAATATACATATACATACATACATATATATATATATTTTAAGCGGTATTTTAAATTTTTATAAATTTATAGTATTAAATATGTAATATATTTATATATGTATTTTGAGAAAATTTATGTATGTATCTATATATTAATAAAAAGGGATATTTTTAAGTTCTGTATTAGGTACTTATATTCAATAAAAGTATTAGGTACTTATATTCAATAAAAAATTGTTATTATATATGCTATAGAATATTTGATTGTTCAACTAACATATGGAAGACCTTCAAAAACCTAGAGTGCCCTTCCGAGAGTTATTCAAATGAAATCGATAATTTTATGGTTATTCTATATTTATTTATATTATATGATTTATAAAAAAGGGGTTAATAAGATAGGTTTCATTTTGAATAAAAAAAATTATATAGGGAAATTATTTTAATTAAAAAATAAAATTTTCATGGTTTATTTATTTTAATATATCTTTATTTTAGTTTATTCATTTGTTATATTACGCAAATATTTCATCAATTCTATTTATGTCATTTATTATTGTTGCATTCATAAATCATGCACTTATTTAATTTTTTCTAAAATATTTAAAGGCAATTTTATCTCATGTTGAGTTAATGGAATTGCGCCAAACATAACTAGATTTCAATTTCTGTTAATCCATATAGTAAGAGAACATCATTTTTAATAAAATCAAATGAATTAAATTATTATTTTTATTAAGTCGAGTGTTTTAAAAAGAGATTCACTCATTTTCTTTAATTCATATAAATAAAAGGATTGTAACTTTTCAGTTCAAATTTGTAAAAATCCATCATTTCAGATAATATATACTCGAAGGTATCGATTTTGGGCGCTATGGGGGTGCTCACCGTTCCCCATGCGTAACCGACTCCCGAATCCTTAAAAATTAAATTTCTATGTCAATTTTTGTCTTTAAAATAATTTTTTTTTTAATTTTTTTAGAAATACATTTTTAAGTATTCGACCTGCCTAACCTAAAGATTGACGCGACTCTAAAATTTAAATTAGACAAAAATCCATATTTTTTTTCAAAATAAAGTCATAATTATTTTAAAAAAAATATTTTAAAAAATAAAAAATGGTTATGTCAACTATAACATCGACATTGAACATCATATGTCTGTTACCATTTCTCTCGTGGTATTTGTTGAGTTAATCGATTGACGAAATAGCCAATAGGGGTGAATTGACAATTAAAATTTTAGTGGAAGTTTTTGCAGAAAATTGAAAATATTTGCACAGCTATTTAGAGTGGTTCGACTTTCTCAACCAAAGTCTACGTCCACTACCTTAGCTATCCACATTAAGGATTTTCCAACAAATTCACTAATTTGTTCTTTCTATTGAGGAGAAAGAGTAACCTTACAACTCCTTTAAGAATTATACCCCAAATTCTTGAGAAGACTCTCTCCCAAAGAGAAATACACAAATTTGCAAACTTATAGAAAAACCTCACTAGGTAAAATGTTTGAACAATTCTAGAACAAAGAAAGAATACTCAAGAATGAATACAATTGAGCACAAATGGTGTTCTTGAAAGTAAAATGAATATTGAATGAAAATAGGCTTGAAAATGCTCAAACGATAAGTTCAAGGCTTTCTCTTTGATTCTCTAGATTCTCTTCTTAATTGTTATTGATCAATGGCTCCTCAGCTTGTTTAAATACATCTTCAATTGATTTTGAACGTTGGGGATCATTGGTGAAGTCAATAGAGTCGTTATGGTGTAATTATCATTTAAAAATCAGTTAGGAGCGTAGGTGTATCGGTACACTCTCAAAGGTGTATCGGTACACTGTGTGTAAAATTCAAATATTTTTACCGTTAAATGACCTAGTAAAATGCATTCGACGTTGGTGTGTATTGATGCATTCAAGAGTGTATCGGTACATCCCTTCGTAAAAATTATTTTTGGCTCGAGTAAGGTTCGAAATACTTTGTCAAAATTGTTTCAAAAATATTTTAAGACTCAAAACACAATTTTTTACTTAAGTAAGGATTAAAAATTGACCTTTAAAAAAACTTGGAGTAATATATTAATATTCGAATAATTTACTTGAATATTAATTTTGAAATCGAATATAAAATCTTAAAATTCAATAGGATTTTATTTGTTATATCGAAACATCAAAAATGTTTTCAACAATCTCCCCCTTTTTGATATAACAAAACATTTAAGTAATTTTAAGATTTTCTTTGAAAATCATTTTTGAAATCAATTTTGAAAATTACTCCCCTTACTCCCCCTTACTATATTCTCCCCCTTTTTGTTAAATAAAAAAGACTCTATAAAACGTTTTAAACAAGTTTATGAAAATTAGCCAATTGATATTTATATAGATATAGCTTAAGCTGCTAAGATCACAATCAAGAGAAAAATTAGCCATTAGTTCCAAAATCAATATTCATAAATAATGTGTGGTAAATTGGTCATTATTCAACTAAAATGTAAATGATGCAAAAATTTATAAAACCAATATAAATTAATCAAAACAAATTCAAACAATCAAAACCAAATATATATATATATAAGCATTCAAGTTCAAACATCCATAACATCCAAAACATATCAATCCAAAAACATCCAAAATGTTTTAACAATAATAATTAGTTTTAAGTTCAATCATTCTCATAAAATAAAGCAAGACAAGGTCTAATCGTCCATCGGTGGATCAGGAGGTGATAAATGTGCCCATATGTTAGCCACATCACGTGTTAGCACGTCGACCCTTTCGTCCATAGCATCGAATCGATGATTCATCGTTTCGTTGTTAGAAGTTAAATGAGACTCGATGAATGCAAACCTCATGTCACGATTCTCCATAAACGATCGGAAGTATGGAGGCATCTGACTCTCTTGCTGTGCTGGCTCGTCATCGGGTACGTGATAATCGATATTGCGCATAAGTGCTTCAAGCTCTGGATCATTGTCCACAGCCGGCGCTGGAAGAGCTTGTGAAGAGCTAGCTCGCGGTGTTTTCTCGGGGGATTGAACCCATTGATCCTTGTCCCCGGACCATCCCGATTTCTTCAAGGTTGTGAAATTTATTTGGTTCTTTAGAGGGGTGGCTACATCAAGCGAGACCCTAAGATTGGATTTGATAAACAAGTTGCTAAAAAGACAACCGTAAACTGAAGTTTCTACATGTTTGGACGGGACATTGTTTACGGTTTCTACTAGCTCACCGAAAATGATTTGTGGCAAATTTATTTTCTTATCCTTTTGGATACAATGTATCCACCATAAATCTATAAATCTAAGGGAAGAGTATCTACCTCCGGATGATCTAAACCACCAAGAGATTATTAAGTGGAAGAATCACTCGTGATGAGTCAATAAAGTACTCGCACTCGCCTTAACCTTATATCGGGTAGTCACAATCTCTTTTTTGTTATCTAAACCTTCGTTTTCTAATCCAAAAAATATTGATGATTGTGTCGGAGTCAATATAAACAAATTCGCCTAAGAGATAAGACCGAATACCTACGGTTTCAGTACGAGAATCATTTTGGACACAAACCATATTGGAATAAAAAATGCGGACTTGTTGGTGATAAAAGATAGGTTTGAGCTGAAACAATTTATCAAATTTCCAAGAACGGAGGTTAGGAAGATATTCAAATTTCATATCAACCATTGCTTGGATAGAGGGAATACACTCTTCCCAGATTTTATATGACTGGAATAAAATAACATACCTATGGTAGAGATTTTCTCTACGACCAGGTTGGTTAAAACAAGAGTTTCGAATAGTCATTTTCGGTTCATTTGGGTTTGGATTTGGATTGGGAGGTGGAATAGGAGGTCGGTTTGAAGACCGACTAGAGGATGACCTAGGGCGTTTTAGACACAATTAAAGATCGGAATGGATAAGGTTACCTACAATTTTAAAACACATGTATGCAATATAATCAATCCCAAAACTCAATAAGAGTCCACAATATTCTAGGTTCTCTAAACCGAATCCTAATAGGCAAAATTTTGAAAACTATTTTGAAAACAATATTTGAAAAATCATAATATGTATAGTTTTCATAAGAATAACATAATTCAATAAAAAACAACACTTTTAAAATCAAAAACATTTTTTTTTCAAAAATTCCAAAAAATTGAAAAATTGTGTGTTTTTGATAAAATTAGTTGTAGATTATAGTTCTATACTACAATCTATCAAATGCCCGATATATAATTCAACCTAGAACTAATTAAAACTAGTACTAAGTTCAAAAATCAATAAAATAAAGTTTTTAGAAAAATACCTTGAAAATTTTCAGATTGTGTGGAATGTAGTGATATTTGAACGAATTTGTTGATCGTAGCAAGTTTAGGAGTTGAAAATCAAGTGAATTTGACTTGTATTGAAGGTTGGAGATTTGGATAGGGTAGAGAGCAAACGGCGGGTGTTTTTGGTTTTAGGAGTTTTGAGCAAATGAGCAATTTTTTAGGGATTTAAGCCTAAAACCCGACGAGTGT